TTTAGTGACACAGAAAACACGTGGCGGAGAAATTCAATATTCCAGGAAGGAAGGACTCTTGCCCCAGAGCCACTCTGGCAGCTGCCAGTGGGCTGGAAATTGCATCACGGTGCTAATGACAGAATGTTAATGAAGTGTTTGACCTTCGACATCCTTGAGTGCAGAGCGAGGTGCCAAGGAACGGAACGAGCCGCTGGTCCGTGTGGGAATATTGTACAACCCACAGTACCGGGAAAACAGTTTCCTCTTGTATTTGTCACTTTCCCTTTGAAAAGGAGAGACAGGGAGCAGAGTCTGGTGTCAGAGGGGATCTGTGTCGGAGTGCCCTGATGTGACCGCTGACCCTGGGCCAGGACACGGCCCTGGGACTTTGCCAGGGCTGCTGCCTGAGGGGACCGAAGGGAGGTGGGGGAGAGGGGCCCTGCCAGCCCAAACAGACAGTTCTGGTCACCACATACAGCCCCTAGCCAGGCAAAAAATAAATAAATCAACCCAAAACCTGAGGTGTCATGATGCAGTCATCTAAGTGGAACAGATTCCACAATTCTCCCTGCTCTCCTCTATTTTCTGAATGTTTTTTCTTGTAAGAAGTGAGACTTCTAATGTACAAAACATGAACAGACTGTTGTACCTATTTCTAAGCAATAATTAGGATTTGATGACAGCTGAAAGACACACAGCTTATCTTGAACTCCTGTAATATATATTCTTTAATAAGGCTTTATCTTTTCTTCCCTGGTGAAGAGTGATTTGCAGAGAGAGAGCAACTTTGAATGGAACAGTGAAGTACCTGGTGGGGTAACTCAGCTAAGAGAAAGTATTCAAAATGTGATGATAACATGGCCCAAAACTCACGGCTATTTTTAACAGAATGAATAAGTTGCTGGTGATGTACGTGATACCATCCCTGTGCTCGGAGCTGCAAAGGGGTGTCCTGTGGCCTGGCAGGTGTTACAGATGTGTGACCCTCAAAAACCAGGGGAATAAAAAATGGGGAAAAGACTGATGTTAATTTGTATGCTAGGAGTGATTTTGTCTGTTTTTCAGAGTATCCATATTGTGCTTCATTCAGTGCTTTACTCAACCTGTGCCTTGGTCAGTCCTGATCTCAACCTGCAACCCCAAGACCTTCTCAAAACTTACTCCTCTGGGGAGCTTCACATATAAATCCTTGCCTGGCACATTTCACATGATCCTTTATGATCTATAAGCAAAACAGATACATGATTTCAGTGCCTGCATACTGCAAATCCACCACCATGGTGTATCCCAGTGTTCTTCCAGAACCTCCAGGCTCAGTTTACAGTTCATTGCACCTCCAAGTCAGTCTTGCAATTCATTAACACCGGCCAAACACAACCACGAATGTGGGCTTAAAATAATCCCTGGCTGGTATCTGTCACAGGCTATTCTTTGGGCTGCTGGAAATAGCTGTGCACGTCACCCAATGTATGGGTCATCAGCCTATTCTGGGATATTCAAATAGAAATGGGCTTTGTGATCCCCTCAGCTGAGGGATCTGGGATATCAGGTTGCCCAGAACTCTGTTCTGACTCATACCAGATATAACCCAGTTCTCTGAAATCCTGCCTCTCTGTGCTTCCAAAGGTTACATGGGAGCCGGGTTCTACCAGTTCTGTTATCTCAAAAATTTTCAGAGAAATAAATGTGAAAAAGATAAATTTCCCTTTTATTCTGGTTTCCATAGTTTTCCATCAAACTGGGAAGATAATTAGATTTCCTGTGTTAACAAATTAAGCCAAGCCAAACAAATCCCAGACCAGCCAACTGAACATTCCCAAAGAAACATAATAAATGCAAACAGAAAACAAAGAGAAAAGCGGCTACAAAACCAATATTGGAAAGTGATGGGCACTATAGCAACAAAGGCATAAGTCTAAGGAATATATAAATTATTCGAAACAATTATTTGTTCCTGGATGCTGTGTATTGCACATACATCATCATTGGATAATTAAGGCTAGTTCATAATTTTGCATGTATTTCTTAACACTGGAACTTAGTGCCCTGGAGCAGTCTTTCTGAATGGGTTTTAAGCATGTAAGATACTTCTCAGCCTGTTGGACCGCGGAATGTGGCGGAAAAACGCAAGAGGCTTCATTTGGACACCGTGCAATCAGTGTGTCAGCCTCCCTGTGGAATTCTGGGGCACTGAGCAGAGCTGTGAGTCCAGCAGACAGAATTTGTAACTTATTGATAAAGTAAGGGTGGGGTCATCTGATTTCAAAATATGAAACAGTGGGTATGTTAAAGAAAATAACATTATAAATGCTCCATATGAGTGTACATCCCTTCACAGAATGCAAGAGTTTAGGAGAAAAATTTTTAAATAGTGGTTAAATTTTTTGATGTGATAAAAAAATATCAGTGAAACACCACATGATCTCAGTGACTGGAATAGTAAGACTGGAATTAAGTTCAATGGTACAAAGATAAAGGTCATAGGCACATGAACTAAGAGTAAAAAACCTGGAAGCACTTCAGTAGGAAATAATAGCAGAGGAGAGTGACCTGCATCTGACCTGGCTGGTCAGGGGGTGGAAAGTGAACATGTGGGGATGGGAATAAGTAATTAAACCAAGGAATAGCTAACAACAAATGGATAAACCAACTGATCACCCATAAATTAAACCAGAAAGCAAGGGGATGCTGGAGCAATTGGAGCAATCCAGCTCTGGAAAGTCTGCTAAGGAGAGCTGGGGGAAGAAAACTGTTAAATACAGCTCAGCCCAAGTGTAGAGATGGGATTCTGTGAAACAGTTCCCACATAACTGGAAGCAGCAGGAGTACCTGCTGGGTAACTTTGAGCTCTGTCATCCCAAAACATACAGATCCTAATAGAGGGAGGATTGAGCCCACAGTCTGTCCTTGCCATGCCCTTTTCCATGGGGCCAGTGCTTGTGCTGCTCATGGACTGGGAGCTGGGGCCATGAGCCCATCCCGGATGGGTGAAACCCTGTGGACAGGAGCTCAGCCCAGATTTTCTCCACCCAGACTATCCACAAGCCTCCTAAAAGTTCCGGAATTTTGTCTGCTGTGCCCACACATGGTGTGGGTGAAGCCTTCCCCTCTCACCCTGTGTGGGTTGGGAGCGCTGCCCCATCCTGTGCCCTCTGCGTGCTGCTGAGGCTCCTTTGAGTGCACCAGGCTGCTGGCGCTCTGCCCAGGAGAGGAAAACATCGGAATTTGTTCTGGATCCACGTCATCCATTCCACTGACACAGCTAATGATGCGAGATCCCACAAACCGCACACACGGGTGACGTCCCTGCTTCGTCGACGTGCTTCACGCTCCACCGGGAGACATCTGGGATCTGGTGACACAGGGATGTGCTCAGCGTTTGCCAAAATGTGAGCTGAGAATCCAAAAATAGGGCAGAGATTTCTAGGCTGGTGCAGGGAACAGTCCCCAGCAGGCACTGGCTAAGGGCACAGTCAGGATAACAGTCCCATAGCAACACTCCCCCCTCTTGGACAGGGGAGTTCATCCCGACCTCACAGCTCATTTTCATTTAGTTCATTTTCATGCATTCTAATAACAAAGCCTGTTTTTTACTTTTTATTTTGAAGGGAACCGTGGTTGAGTGTCCGTATAGATTTTAGATTTTTGGGATGCATTGTCCCTTTCAGCAAACTTTGACAATAGCTGACCTAATGAAGACTATTCTGGTTTGAGGCTCCAGAAGGTTCCTTCGTGTGAAGGAACAGTTCAAACCAGTTCTATCTTTTTTTCTTTCAGCTGTACCATCCTCTAACTGTCTGTTTATATGGTGGATACCAATGGAGTCTGGAATTATGCAAGCCTGGAATTCTAAAACATAGAGCTGGGTCTGCTCTTAGTTACTGATACAAACATTGAGTGTCTGCATTGATTTTACTAGAACAGACTGACATCCATACTGGCATTAAGTTTAGATATATTATAAATACTTTTTTTTCCCCCAGATATTTCCTTATCTGTTAAGTAGTTGAAACAAATCCCTTCTGTGACTCTGCTGGAAGAGGAGACCCTTTTTACCACACAAATATCATGCCAGCGATGAACACATGAAAACTGTGTTCAGCAATTTTTGCTGCGAGGAAAATGTGCAGAAGAGGGAATGAGGGGACCCATCTTGCTTGGGAAGTTAAGAGACAGAGAAACATAAAGATTTTGAGCTTATGTTATATTTTGCCTAGGAAGGGATTCCCATATTTCTGATTCTCATAAGCAAGTCATCGAAATATCCCAACAGATGGGATCTCACCTGGGGTTCCCTCCTCTGATGTGCTAAAACATGCTGCGATGAGGCTGGTCCCTGAAATCACCATCACAACATGGGAAAACCATCACAGAAATGGTGTCCAGGCCATGCTCCAGCAGGAAAGGGGAGTTTTCCTCTTCATGGCACTTGTCAGGGCCCAGCAGGGACCATGTCCATGCTCAGGTTCACTGCAGCGAGTGCTTGTTTCACTTGGCTGTTCTAGGTTTGCTTTGTGATGAAGAGAAGCATTTGGATTTTAATGTTTTTAAGCTGGCCGGTTTTAAGGAAAGCTGTGTAGGTGAGACAGCAACTTCCATTAGGAAATACAGTTCAGATGGATCTGGGAACTGTAAGGCAAATCTTTTGTCCATCCATCGGCCAGGGCTGCAGCCCCCAGCTATTCCAGCAGCAGTATTTCTGGCTCCCACATCATCCCCTCATGTCTCTGGCAGGGCAGGAGAGATTTTGGCACGACAAAGAAGAGGAGGAGCAGCGGGAGCTTTCTGACACCCGGCAGGCAGCTCCTTGGGAATCTGTGCCAGCTGGAACGAGCAGGGCAGCCAAGGAAGAGCCACAAGGAATGTGGCTTCATGTATTGGGTTTATCAAAACTCATGGTTCTCTCACGGGATCAGTTTTAAAAGGATATTTGAAATTTTGTGACAGAAATCATCAAAAAAGCATTTTTTAATGCTGAATTGTGATTACTCCTCCTATTAGTATCCTGGAAGTACTTAATATCCTATTGTTATCCTGGAAACACTTTATATCCCACCATTTTCAGTACTAATATAGAACTATCCTGCCACAGGCACAAGTGAGAGGCAATAAATGGGCATTTAGTGAAATAAATGAACCGTTGCCCGTTTGTGAAGTTGAACACAGATGCAATGACAGCGCGGGCGCGGCAGGGGGCGCTGGGGAGCGCAGTCCCGCGGGCGCAGCCGCTCTGGCCGCCGGAGGACCTGCTCTCTATGGCGGCCGCTGCTTCCCCAGCGGGCGGTGACCAGCGGCCTGTCCCGGCATGCACCGCGCCGGCCACACTTCCCGGCACACCTCGCGGCGCGCTCACTTCCGGCCCAGGCGCTAAGATGGCGACGCCCATGCACCGGCTGATCGCCCGCAGACAGGCGTGAGTGGGGCTGGGGGACGGGTGTGGGGGGGCCGTGCCGGGCGAGGACGGGGCTGCGGAGCGGCGGGGCCGCGGGGTTGAGCCCTTCTCCGGCGCTCAGGTCCCTCCTCACCGACGCACTGTGTCCTGGGAGAGCGCTGCTCGACGGAGGGGAACCCCCCCCAAAATGCTGGGGTGAGCCGCGGTGACTGCGAGACGATGGCATTGGGGTGTCCTGTGCACGGCCCAGCGCTGGGCTCGAGAATCCCTGTGCGTCCTGCCCGGCTCGGCGTGTTCCGTGGTTCCATAAACGGTGGGAGCGAGAGCGGCGGGTGGGGAAGGAGAGGAAGTTGTTGGATTTTGGCGCTCGGAGCCGGCGCTGGGAAACGGCGCCCTAGGGAGTGGGAGCCGTGCGCTCGGGACAGCGGGGAGCGTCTCGTGGTGCGGGCGGTTACTGAACCGCATCGCAGCCGCTCGACAGCCCAACTAAGAAAAAAGTGATCTCCGGGTTCGTGTTGTGGTACATTTACAGAACGGAAAAAAAACGCAAAAAAATACCCCCAAAACACAAACGAGATTTGCTAGATGTAGGTATTGCAATCAAATAATCCCCTCAGCACCAAAAAGATCTGATTTCAAACACCGAAATGAGGAAAACCATGTTTTTGCTTGTTTGGGAAGTGCAGCAGGTGTGTGTGTGTCCCACCCCCACGTGCTGCTGACATTGTTTTTGCAGTTGTTTGTAGATTTGGATGTTGGGTTTTTTCCTTAGATTAATTTATTTCTCATGTTTCAGTTCTTTGACTGTGTTTTGGGTTTTTTTTTTTCCCAATCACACTACTTGGGCAGAATGTGGATGGTTTCTGCATTCTCCTGCCTTTTCCATAGTTTAGTAATAATCTCTTTCCTGTTTTCTAGTGGAAAATAATTTGGAATTTTAAAAAACTTCTTTTCAGTTACTATTTTATTTGAGTCAAGGACTTATTTCTTAGGTTTGATATGTCTTATGTGCTTGGTGGGTCTGTGCTGAGCTGTCCCTCTGCTGGCCTTTGCTCCAGGGTTGGGATCACTGATCCCTGCTAAAAGTTTGCTTCAGTTTTGTGCTTTTCATTAGTGTTAAACTCGTTGGTGCTGATGTGGTGTTTGCAGATCTGTGGCTGGTGAGCAGATCTGATGTTCTGGTCATTACTTATACTGGTTTTAGGACTTATTCCTTGTCTTTTTAGCTTGCATGGAATTGTCTGCTCCACTTGTGTGAGTAGAACTGAAGCCCTGGAAACACTGAGTTATATTGTTGTTGCTTTAAACTTCCACGTTGTTCCTGTGGACAAAAATCTGGGCTGGTTTGAGAGAGAAAAACATCAACTTTGGGGGTTTTATGTCAATGAAGAGGAGGGAGAGTCATCGCTGAGCTTCTGTGTAACTGCTGTGGCAGAACCTGAAGTGCAGGAGAAAGACAAACCTCTCAAAGCCATTGGGTTTTGTTCCTTCCCAGACATTCTGATTCCTGCTCCAGTCCCAGTTCCTTGTGCTGTGCAGGCTTAAGTTTAATTAGTTTTTTAGTGCTGATTTAGCTGAGTATTTCTAAGTCTTGAATATGAAGCCAAATGGCCTCTGCATTGAATGAGTGATGGATACTCAATGCAAGATTCCCTTCAAAAACTGCCACAAAAGGTGGCTGAAGCTGAGGGAGAACCAATTCCTACCTTGCCTAGAAGTGCAATGCTCGTTTTGAGGAAAAGTGCTCACTGCACTTTTCCTCAAAATAAAGTCTGTCACTTTATTCTCATTAATGAACAGTCTGGAAGGCTCCTAGTTCAGCCAGGCTGGTAATTACAGACAGTTTAGATGGGCTGACCTTGAAAAATTTGTATTTTGGTGCTTGGAAAAAAAACAGAAGGTAGGAAGAGGTGACAGGAGTCACAGGGCACTGAAAGGAGTGACACAGTCCCGAGTTCAGTCCTGGCTCTGAACTAATTTTGATCCTGACCTTGAGCAGTCCCTTGGCTGTGTGTGAGTTTCCTTATTTGTAAAGGAGAAGGGAAAACAGCTTTGCAAAGCTTCCCAACAGCAACTTAAGAGCTTGAGTGTGGAAGTAGGAGTGTTTTCCCTTCCTTGATTTCTAAAAATGCTCACAGAATTTTACACGGTGCAAGAACTGAAACATGGATGTGAACTCTCACTGACAGTGCAGGTGTTTGGGGGCACAGGGCAATCAGGGGAGTCTGGCTGGATTTACTGTGCACAAAGTGAGCAGGAATCTGATTGTTCCTGGGATAAACCTTCTGCCAGGCTTTCAGGAATCTTAGTAAATTCAAATAAGGTACAACCAGGAGCATCTCTGGGAGTCAGTCCTAGGCTGTTTGTAACAATTGAGCAATTTGGTGCCTGAGTGTTAAATTCTGGGGTTTTGAACTATAGCTGCTGCTTTTTGCTAACTGTGTTCTAAACCATAATTTCAATTATTTACCTGAAGTAATCTACAGCCACCTGCAAATTGTATGCAGTGTAGTTGTTCCCATGTGAAAATATATTAGTAAATGAAAATCTGTTTGCTTAAATTCTGCATGTACCTGTTTTTACTGTTTGTGTCCTGATTTAAGTGAAAAGCTGAAGCACCTGTGAATATCTGGTCTAATCATGACTTGATGTGGTTAAAAGTCTGCATGATAAAAAAATAAATAATTTTTCACTAGGCTGAACAGACTTGGACTGAGTCACTTAAGCAATTCTGCATTTTTCTAGGGAGGCAAACAAGCAGCATGTGAGATGTCAGAAGTGTTTAGAGTTTGGCCATTGGACATATGAATGTACAGGGAAGAGAAAATACCTGCACAGGCCTTCAAGGACAGCTCAACTGGCCAAAATCCTGAAAGAGAAAGAAAAACAACTATTACTGCAACAGAGGTAAGATTGGCAGGATTAAATGCCTGGTTTATTAATGAAATAAAAGCAAAGATGGTGTCCCAGACCATTTTCTGGGATCTTTTCCTCCAGACTGTGTGATGTTTGCCTAATGTTAGAGGTGATTTGGATATTAGGTGCAATATGTACACTCAGGTCCCATAGAATTAAAAATATCATTTTAATTAATTTAATTTAAGTCTCTCTTTAATACATGCTCCTCTGAAATACACTTTAAAAGCATTGTGGCCTGTCTGTAACAAAAAAAAAAATCCACTAAGCCAAAGTTAAAATAGTTGGAGCCATTTCTTAATGGAACAGTTTCCTGAATTCCTTGGTTACTTGATTTCATGTTTATCTGATGGTACAAGCAGGTGGGTGTGAGGACTGTAAATGTGTTTATAACAAAGAGGCAACTCTTGCCCTTCTGTTCAGGTTTGCTGGTAGAATGTGGATTTAAACCTGGTGTTCTGGGCACAACCTGACAGTGTCTGTGCCAGCCCAGCCCCTGCTGCTCCCTGGGAGCTGCACTGGTTAAACAGGTGAATGGGAGTGGAGTTATCAGGTGGTTTTAACTCTCAAGCATAAAGTAACAACACCTCACTGAATTGCATAATTATTTCCTGTTTTGACATCTGAGAAAGTGAAAGATGCATCTTAACAGAGAAATCTAAATGAAACCCTGCATGTGGTGTGTGATTTCCTTTCTGCTTTGCTCTCAGTACACTTTGTGTTCTTCCCCCAAGGTTAATAATTGTTTTAACAAGCAGCTCTAGAGCGAAAAACAATGCAACACATCAGTTTTCCGTAAAGTTCCTGTATGTGTGAGGGTTATCTCTGCCATTGCAACTGCAGTTTGGTTTTGGCAGCTGGAGAGGTGCTGCCTCAGCCCCAAGGAGGGACTGTGTGAGGTCCCTCACAGCCCTTGCAGCTGGAATTACTGAGGATTTGGACATGTGCCTTCAGTCACTGCCACTTCCAGCTCAGTGTGTTGGCTGTGGGTCATCACACTGCCAGGATGTGAGTTATGGAGAGCATTCCCACCTTTTGCTGTTATCCTAGTGGGAGAGAAAAGGGTGGTACCTCTGGCAGACAGGGCTCCTGTGGCTCCCTCAGCTGTTGCAGCTCAGGCAGCAATTATGAGTCACAGGCCTGAAACACTGACTGAAGTGGAGGCTCGTTAGCTTGTGATAAGAGCCACGTAAAATGTTTGATTTTGAAATTAATTTTGATCCAGTGAGTAATCCTGAACTAATTACAGTCACCCAGTATTGTAGATAGACATCAGGAGTGCTTGGGCCTCTGAAACTTGCTCCACTTGGAGACAGAGTTTGGATGGGTTCTTCAGAAACTCGAAGTTTTTAGGCAAAGTTTGAGACTCAGATTTTTCCCTTGTTTCTTTTCTGCCGTATTTCTGGTGAATTCTGCAGGTTCACGTTGGAGGATTGTCAACTGAGGGTGAAATTCCTTGAAGCCTAGTCCTTCTGCTTGAGTCTGAGGATGGGATAATTTTATGTAGGAATTCCAGGACTGTTCAGTCTGTCACAAATGGAGATTTTTGGGCTGTAACAGTCCTCAGTGTGAGGGGCACGTGCTGTGAAAAGTCATCTTGTGAATGGAAGACTGACTAATCCTTAGGCAGGAGCAGTGTTTAATCCTGGTTAAATTGGGCTGGATTCACAGGGGTTATATAATCATAAGCTCCTTAGCTGTGCCATAAGGGATCCTGTTCCTTACATGCCAATGTTACACTTCCAAGGATGAAGCTCTTCCTTTGTGGAAAAACAGCTTCCTAGGGCACATTTTTGCTTTTTATATCGCTTGTATTGGAAGGTTCTTCCTTGTCACAGAGAAGCTGGGTCTCCCACAGGCTCTCCTTTGGAGTGCTTGTATCACCACCTTTAAAGATCCAGGCAGGAATCATTAACCAGAAGGCAAACACAGCCTAATAAGGTCAATATTTACTTTTGACAACCACATCCAAGCTGTTTCAGCATGAACTCATGTCATAGTTGTTCCAGGATCCCTCTGTTGGCCCGGTGCTGACCCCACGATTCTGATGGACACTCTGGAGGTGTCAGTAAAACCCTCACTGCCTGCCTGGCCTGGGGCAGGAGTTGGGAGGGGAGGAAAGGTGAGAGAATGCTCATTCCTGAGTGATGTTACTGCACTGAACCCAACACAGAGTGTGATTTATGGCTCTGAAGGCACTGTGGGGCCACAGGGAGAGCGAGGGAGTGCCCAGAGCAGGTCTGACCACAGGGCCTGGAGTAACTCCTGTAGTAACCTACACCTTACACACTAGAGGGAGGCACAGCCCTGTGCCCGAGTTCCTCACACACCGAGTGAGGTCCTGTCTTCTCAAAGGTGCTTTGGGGTTTAATTCTGTTTCTCACAGTGACTCATCTTACCTGTGAACACCTGATGACCCTTGGAGGGTGTAAGGCCTTAGGAATGTAAATCTGAACAGGAGGGATTATAACTTGGGTTGGGATTTGAATATCAGTGAATCTTTCTCTTGCCCACAGGAGGGTGTGGGGAGTGTGAAAAACTCCTCTATATGATGATAATGTTTCCATAGCGTATGTGTGAAAATAAAAAAATTGGAAAAATCTCATTTTTCTGGCTTATAAAGAGCATTGAAGTTTTATTGAAATACAATGCAGGTTACTCTTAACACTTTCTTCTTTCTACCCTTTCTGTAGTCTTTATCAACACATACTGTTTTCTAATGCCTGAATGAAATACATTTGCAGTTTTCACTTCCATTTTTATGTATTCAAAATGGCTTCTAATAATAAGTTTCAGTTGAGCAAAAAAGGTATCCTGGATCATGAAAATGTACAACTTCCTCATAGATCAGTGGCACGTTGTGTTGTAAGGATATGATGAGGGAATACTTGAATCACACAGGTACATTCCAGGTTGAATTATGTGCTGTGTATCTGCAATGGATTGAAAACAGCACGTGACTGGCACGTTTGACTGAAGGAATTTTGTTTTCTTTTTGAAAAGAGAATCCAGCAGTGAAGACTGCTTTGAAAAAGTACTTCTCCCTCAGTGTTTTGTTAAAAGAAACTTTCTTCTGTGTCACTTACCACTAAAACTTTGTGTGACTGGATGGTCACATGGGAATCTGAAAGACATACCTGGAAAGCATCACTATAAATAGATTTTTCTGTTTCTTTCTGCACTTGAAAGAAATGTGAAAGCTACAGGCTAATTCAGTGTTTTACCCTTTGTTTCCATCAATTCAGTTATTGTTAAATATAGTTCTATACAATTTTTTGTGTCCTTTTCCCCTGTGCCTTCCCATCTCAAAATGCTGTTGTCCATATAAAATGAAGCAAAGATGAGAGTAAGGCATCCATAACACAGAAAATTAGAGGTGAATTGCTGCTTTTTTTTTAATTCTCCTGCCTTGTAGTTGTTGTTGCTCCGGTCTGCACAGGACTGAGAAGAGTTGCCTGGTGCCTTAATGGCTCTGCCAGCAGAACACTGCTCTGTGCTCATATTAAACTCACTGTGCTGCTATTTATTTAATTTTCCTACCACATTAATCAAAGCCATTATTTTTCCCCCCTTAATTAGTGCTGGAGAAAGTGCTGCAGAAAAGAAGACCAAGAAGAAAAGGTATGTGAGACGGGTGGCAAATGGTGCAGCTGATCCTGGCTGGGATCCTGCCCTGGGTGTTGCAGGAGTTTGAGAGGGGGTGGGAAAAGTCAACACTGCGAAGAAGTGTTGGCTTTACTGCTCTGAGCCTGTTACAGGCTTTTGTCTGACAGATATTTGGAGAATTTCTACTCCTCCTTATCCGAAAACTCTAAATTCCTGGTTCTCTGCTTTTCTCCCTCCTGATCATCCTACTTCTGCATGATCTTGCTTTAATGATAAAAAAGGTTTGTATTTCTGCCTCAAAGTCCATCAAGTGTCTCTGAAACAATTGTGCAACACTGGCACACTGTTTTCTGGTCTGACATTGTTCCACCTGCTCATCCTGCTCTGTCTTTTGTTGTTTTCATTCCCTCCTGCCAGCTTGCTCTCTCTCTCTGAAGCTTTGTCTAGAGAATGAAATAAAGCACCTAAAAACCAAAAATCCAACCCCAAAACCAAACAGAACCACCTCAATCCCAAGCCAAAATCCAGGAAATAAACCTTCCCCCACTCCAAGTACTAGTTGGAGCCAAGAACTCTTTTGACATTGTTTGTACTTGACTTTGCATTAATGTTTGCTTGGGAATTTGCTTTATTAGCAGAGGAACAGCCAGAACTGAGGCTGTAACACTCCTGGTGATCGTGTTGGGAGTTTTACTCCAGGGGGGAATGTCTGTCCTGTAACAGCCTCAGTATCTCTTCTCATTTAGTTGTCCCCTAAATCTGATCTAAAACCACTTTTCAGGAGGTGTTTAAAGACTAGGCCTCTTGCCTTCTGTGGCAGTCAGTGAATAAGGCACAGCAGATCTTTAAAACATGCCTCTATTTCAGGTTATCTTGTGGAATGTGACTTTATTGGAATGCTTGGCTATCGGAGTGTGCCCATTTATTGTTGGAGTTACTTGGGACCAGTGAAATCATAAATTAACTAATTTTGAAACAGTATAACACAGGCCCCTTCTTGTCTCAGCTTTCCCAGATGCTGCAGCCTTTACTGGCAGAATTATTTTCAAGAGTATTTGAGCTCCAAACCAATGCAAAAATGAACAGAGCAAAAGAGTCCTTAGGGGAGTGGGTGGTTTGGTCACTTTTTCCTTGAAATTTTAAAACTCTTGTAGATTTGAGTTATTCTCCTGTTTTTATGCAAGCACCAAATCCATTAATATAAACTCCTTTTCAGATAGTTTGCTGTTTATATTTTTATTATATGGGAAGAATTAAATGTGGACAATTCAGCAGAGGGTTACCACTGGATATATAAGTTCCAGATTTAAAATAAAACTATGCAAAAGTTCAGGTTCTGGCAGGAGGAGCACGAACCTTTTACACAGAGTATATTTGTTTTGATATAAACAGTAATAAATGATCTCAGGTTCAACCAGAAAAACAGGCTCAGGCAAAGCAGCTGCTGCAGTCTTGTGACCTCAGGTGACACAGAGCTGCCTTCCAGGTGCATGTGTCCTTCAGCATTCCCCCCTACCATGCTTTGGTTATCCATGGAAAGCCCACTTTATATCGGATCACACCTCTCTAAAGGGTGGAATTGTGTTCTAATTCACTTGTTTCTTCAGGCCCCCAGCTGTTACTGTGCCCAGAATTGTAGGTTGGATGTGAGTGGCACCTGTGAGGGTTTAAAACCCCGGGGGGGTTTGGAGCAGAGCAGGGTGACAGCCTGGGTGATACCAGCACTTGTCCCACAGCTGGGGCACAGGATCACACAGGAGATTAACTTTTAGAAACTTGTTTTGAGGAGAAGAAATGTTATCTGCTGGAGAAATTCTGTACTTTGACAGTGGTGTAGTAGACCCAAAATCTTACATCTACCAACCTACAACATCTGCATTGTCACGTTACCTATTTCACATTACATTTTGTATTTGAATTTTACTCACTGCCATCTCCATCCTCCTCCTGGAAGTACCAACAGGCTACATGTTGAATCACCTGGAAACAAGTCCCTGCCTGTTTCCTCTCCCAAATGCAGCTATTGCTTTCCTCCAGGAGAAGCAGTACAATATTCTGATGTTTATGTGGGTGGGTTTTGGATTATAACCTAAACACTGGACTGCTGCTGTGGATACTGTGAGAGGTGATCAGGAAAAGGATGTTAAAGAGTTACCACTCAGGGGATCCTCTGACTGATTCCTGCCCATGTCAAGGATTCTGCACATCTAATGGAACTGGTTAGATTGAAACTTGTCCCATTTTTTTTTGTGTTTTGTTTTGTTTTCCTCATCTTAAAAGTAGTTTTTCCCAGACAATAAGTATTTAACCAGCCCTTATGGATTTATCTGTAATAAAGAGCTGTTGTGTCTGCACACACAGAGATAACAGATTACAGATGTATTATAGAAACTTCTGTGGTTCATAGCTCAACACACACTCCCACATTTGTCAGCTGACATGGCTGATATGTTTAAAAAAATCAGTCTCTCTTTAATAACCTTAACACAGGCATTTCATGAGTTGTATTTAAACAACCCCTCTGATTAAAAAATACTGCTTTAATTTTCCAATGGAAAGGAGATTCCGCATTATTATAATTTACAGTTCTGCATGTCCTTTGGTTGACTTTGGGAAGGGAGGTGAATCAGTGCCATTACACTTTGTTGGGAGAAAGATCTGTGGGAGAATTGAATTGTACTTTCTTGAAATTCACGTTGCCTCACTTAATCAGAGATGTTGATCTTGAGAGCAATGTCCTCAGTAAGGGCTAAGCATGGAAAAAAATGTGCAGAGCATACAGAAATCCTCTTTGCTGTGTTCATCATTCTGTCTGTATCTTGGATTGTTTCCACCCCTTCTCCACCTGGAAAACATAGGCCTCCTGTAGTGGCAGGTAATCTGGGCTCTTTTGCCAGGAGTAATCTAAGAACGGTTTTCATTGGTAACAGTTCTGACCTTGGTGAAATCACTGATTAAACCTCCCCCGACTCTTACACTGCCAGAACTTCAGTGTGTTGCAGTGAGGAGCAGGGAACTGAGCTTGGCTAATTTTCCCCAAGGCTTTCGTACTACAGGACATTCAGAATTCTGCAGCCAGGTCAGGAAAGCCCGTGGTCATTGCTAGGAACAAGATCCTGGCCAGCTTTCCCACTTACCCTCTCTCTGCAGTCCTGCTGGATTATGTGGTGTCCCTCTGCCACTGCTGTATTGGGCAAGATCCATTCGTTCAGGGTTGGAAAAGGGGAGGGGAGGGCACAGGAATTTGTCTTAGATTGGAGATGTTCAGGCCAGATAATTGATCTTTGGGTTACAACACAGCAGAAAGAACACTGTGTGATGTGGGGGAGCTGGCAGGGCTGTTCTCAGCTGGTTGTTCTCTCCCAGATCCAAAAGTGTGACCAGTTCCAGCAGCAGCAGCGGCGACAGCTCAGCCAGTGACTCCTCCTCTGACAGCGAGGACTCTTCTACCTCCTCCTCCTCCGATGACAGTGACAGTGATGAGAGCTCCTCTTCTTCCTCATCTTCCCCATCCTCCAGTAGCACTTCCTCCTCTTCAGAGTTCGACTCAGATTCCAGCTCCTCCAGCAGCAGCAGCAGCAGCAGTGACAGCAGCTCTGATGATGAGCCCCCAAAGAAGAAGAAGAAGAAATAGCCTGGGGTGGGGCAGGACTGGTGTGGAGGGAGTGACACCACTCAGAGGTGTCTGGAGCACACAGTTGCCAAACAGTTCAATGGTCAACATTTCTACTGCTAAAACTTTCTTAAGTGTTTTTTGCATAGTTGTTCATACCACATGGGAGGTATCAAAGGGCACGTGAGACTTACTGAAAGAGTATTTTTGTGGTTTATCCTTTTATGGAAGACTTTACTTTTTTAGTTCTAAAAAAAAAAATCTATCATCAGATTTGTTTATATGAGCTAAGGTCCAGTATCCTGGATGTTTACATGCTAGAAAGCAAGAGCTCTTTATTGCAGATTATGCTGTGCATCATGTGCTGTTCCTCTCTTAATGACAGCTTCACTTCCATTGAGAAAATCCTCTAAACTGTTAAAAGCAGAAGTTTTACAGTGCTGCTGTGGAGCTCTGGCATTGTTGAGCCTGAATGCACAATGTGTCACACACAGGGCCTTCCATCTCGCTGGTGACAAATGGATTCTGTGCTGCTGAGCTTGTGTTCTGATGGCTTTTCCTGATGCTTCCAGGTCAAGTCTTAACTGCAACATCCAATTTAACTAGTGTTGAGTTGTTACTGATCAATGTAGTGCTTGTCCTGCCCAGAGGCTTTGGGCTTTCCACTCTCTGTGTCCTTGGCTCATGTATTTGTAGTGTTTTCTGAGACACAGAGTCTGTCAGAAAGCAGCAGTGCAGTGAATTAGAGCTGATGCTGCTTTGGAGTTTCATCCTTGTGCCTTTTTTTGTAAATTAAACGTATCCCAGTGAGACAAGGGCTTGAGAGTGGGCATTTTGCAGGACTCCATCAGCTTCTCATACAGAATATGGTCAGTAAACCAGAGAAATAGTAACAAAACTGGGCACTGTTTTCTAGGAGATGGGGGAAAAGGCTGTTTCACTGGATGCTCGGTAAGAAAAGCAGAAAAGAAATTAAGTTCCCAAAGGAAAGTGTTCCCCTTTTGATATTTTTTCCAAGAAATGTGTGTAATGCAGGATCACCAGGCCATGCTGTTGGGCACGTGGTGAATTACAGTCTGCAGTAGAATCAATCACTCTTTGTCTGTAACACTTTGTACATGTCTGAGAACTGCCATGGGAGAAGCAAAGTAGTGCAAAAACCCCACAAAACTAACAAAAGCAGAATCCAAACACACTGCAGAACAAGGATTGGTTGCAGATTGGGAGTTACTTGGTTTTTTCTGGTGGATTGAAGCAGTTGGTATTAGTATTTTATTTTGTGATGCAGTCTCCTAAATTTGTTATTGTTGGAGTGCTCTTACTGGGGAGGGGGCATCACATGTGGAAGAATTCTTAAATATCTTGGTTTAGGTAAAATATAGTAACTAAACTATTTTTTATATTTTTATGGGGAAGAGTAGTGTGTACAATTACTTTGGAATAAACTGTACTTATTTAAATGTTTGGAAACACGTACGTTGTGTGTCTCTGTGAGCACTCCTGTGTTTTACAGAACAAGCTGCAGACTGTAAATAAAACTACCAGAAAATTGTTTAAGTCTTGTTGAGTGAATGTACCATTTAATGGGAAAAGTTAATAAATTATTAAACAGTAGTTGCTAAGTTGGTGATTACTGCAAATATATAAAATATTTGTGGTGTTTGTGTGCAGATGGTTTCATCTGAAGTTGCTTTAGCATTGCTCAGAAGGGTAGCACTGCTCCCCAGTAACTTGTCCAACCATAAATCGCTCCCTCTACTCAGTCTTTTTAAAGAAATGTTTAATATACAATATTTTTTTTTTACTTGCCCTTTCTGTTTACTTTCTCTCTACCTGTTCTTATTTTACAGAGTAAACTCCCCCAGCCTGGCCAGAGCCTTGCTCTGTTTCATGTGCCACTAGATTGTTTCCCAATCTCCTGCTGGATGCTTTCATTCAATTTTTTTTAACAAGGGAAAGGTACTTCTTTCAGGACTGTCTCCCAAAGCTGCAAAAGATCATTAATTTTATTAAACCCCTGCGAACTAGAAATTACTGCATTAACTCAGCAGTTACAGGCCCTGCACAGCTGAACAGCCCTTTTAATCCCTGCAATTCCAGGCAAAGCTGCCATTGCTCATTGGAGAGGAGCAATTGATGCAGCCTGGCAGGAAAACAGCCTCGGGAAAAGGCATCACCTTTCAAGGAGAAATACTGGGAACAGAGGGCAGAGCAGGAGAAGGGGAGACAATCCAATATTTGAATCTGGGGCTTTATTAAACCAAACATCTGCTACTCAGAAACAGGTTTTGGGTGCTCACAAGGAAAAGTGCATTATACAGTTTCATGTGGATTAGTGGATTGATTTATTTTCTGAGGGAAGAGTCGTTAATAAATAGGAGTTTCACTATCAAATGGATTTGGTTGATGAAGAAATGATTCAATGTGACTTAACCCCTGGGTTTAATTTGCCTTATGAATAGGTTTTGTCCAAGCTGTGCCTTTAACGGACACAGCTTGAGGTGGATCTTCACAGTCTTATTTGTTCATCCAGATGTGTGTGATACACCAGAATATCAGAGAATCCCAGAATGTATTGGGTTGGAAGGGACCTTTTAAGGTCATTAAGACCAACCCCCTGCCCTGGGCAGGGACACCTTCCACCATCCCAGGTTGCTCCAAGTCCCGTCCAACCTGGCCTTGAACAGTTCCAGGGATGGGGCAGCCACAGTTTCGCTGAGCAACCTGTGCCAGGGCCTCAGGCGCCTCCCAGGGCAGAATTGATCCCGATATCCCGCCCAGCCCTGGGGGTTCCCGGGACGGTCACGGGGGTCCCCGCGGTCCCTCCGGCCGCCGCCAGGGGGCGCCAGCACATGCGGGAGCGCTCCCCGCGCGCGCGCGCTGCGCCACGTGACCCTCCCGCCGCCGGCGCGCGAGGGGGCGTGGCCGTGCAGGAGGCCCCGCCTTCCTACGCGCGCGCTCCGCCGGGGTCACGTGGGAGGGTCCCCGCGTGTCACGTGATCGGGGCGGCGGCGGCGCGCGGGGGCCGCCGGGAAGCGCCAGGCGGGACCGGGATCGGGATCGGGACCGGGACAAGGCCCGACCCAGCAAAGCCCCGCCCGCGCCGCGGCCCTGCCCGACCCCTGCGAGCCGCCAGCACGGCCCCGGCCCGCCATGGACCGCCGGGACCCCTGCGGAGCCGCCGCCCGGCTGTGAGCCGCCCCCCCCGCCGGGCCGGGCCCGCCCCAGGCGCTCCGGGATTCGCCGGCGGCTCCTCGGGCCTCTTCGTTCGCCGGTGGCGGCAGCCAGGAGATGGTCCGGGCCTAGCGGAGCGGCCCGCGCAGGTGAGCGCGGCCGGGCCGGGCCTCCCGCGGCCCCGGGGCAGCGCCGCCCCCGCCCCGCGCAGCCCCGGGCGCTCCCGGGATCCCCCCGGCGGGACCGGGGGTGGGAGCAGCCACTCTGCGGCGCATCTCCCGCCGGGAGCCGCGGGTTTCCCCGCGCTCGAGCCCCGCGGTGACACCCCGGGGAGTCGGGGGGGTTCCGTCGTGCCCTTCCCCGCGGGGCGCAGCCCGGGGTATCCCTGGAACGGGGGCTCGGGGGGTCCCGGTGCGGCGGGGCCGCTGCGCTCCCGGCCCAGTGATGGGTCTGGGTCTGTTCCGGTAATTGACGTCAGGGCTTTGTTCCTTCCCCTTTGCTCTCCGCGGTTCGGGGCCCGTGGATGGAGCGGGCGGGACCGGGAGAGGCTGGAGGGGCTCTGGGGGGTGTCTCGGCGCTGCCGGGCAGGTGCTGCCGAAGGTCGGGGCAGGGGAGACTCGGGGTTATGGACACAATCGCATCCCGTGAGCGGAGGGTTGTTATGTAAAGCCTCGTCCCTGGTGGGGGTTGTGTTGTACTTGGTGATCAGAAGAGCGGTCGCTTGACGTCCCTTGAGCCTGGGCTGACTCTTTTCCCTTTTCCAGTGAACAAAACAAAGCAAGAAAGTGTTGAAACGTGTAACCTAGGGGTTGGTGCTTTCAGTGCTGTGACTTTGATTCTCTTCTTGACATGAGCAAGTGAATAACTTAATTTTGGGGGACTACTGAGTGTTTGTACCCATATCTCATGTACAGCCTGGGAAACTGATGTACAGTGGAAAGGGAGCCTGGAAAGGGACAGGTGTGGGAAACCCTGTGCGACCATCCCATCTCCTTGCCTTATTACAGCCTTTTCTGGTCATTTTCTTAGGAAGACTTGGTGGCTTTAAACATTCCCGTTTCCAGTGATGGCATCAGGCCCCCCACCTGTCCCTGTGGGACTGAGCAGGCCCTTCCTCAGCATCACTCTTTAAAATGAACTTGTTCTGCTCCAGTGTGTGCATTTATTTGTCACCTTATTGCCTGCTCCCTCCCAGCTGCTGAACTTTTCTCGGGTGTATTTCCAGTTCTTGACATTCCTTTAAAACTCCTGAATTCTCTCAGGTCCCTGGCACAGGGGATTTGCAGCCTGGGGGTGTTACTGCAGAACAAGGTCTAGTGAAGTGCTTTGCGGGAGTGGTTGTGCACTGGATTTGTCATGTTGTTGTCTTCTCTAATGAGGCAAATGTGATTAAACTTCCTGGGCTGCTGTTGTGGGAGGTGTGAGACAGTCCCAGCAAACGGGGGGGAGGGTCACACTGGAGTTACACAGTGGTTGGACTGGGACTGGGGCAGATCTTGTTGGTGAGGAACAAAAAACGTTACCAATATCTTGGCCTTTATTAATGTACAATTATCAGTTTTTATCATTTCCTGGCTGCTGTACAGTGTATTTGCAGCTCTGTGCGAGAGCAAACTCTCCTCTGTTCAGCAGTTAGAGTCATAGAACCATGGAATATCCCGAGTTGGATGGGACCCACAGGGATCAAGTGCACCTCTTGGCCCTGCACAGGACACCCCAACAATCCCATCCTGTCTCCAAGAGTGTTGCCCAACTGTCAGCCTTGGGGCTGTGACCATTTCTCTGGGGAGCCTGTTCAGTGCCTGACCACTCTCTGGAGGAAGAACCTTTTCCTGATATCCAACCTAACCCTCCCCTGACACAGCTCCAGGGTCCTGTCACTGGTCACACAGAGCAGAGGTCGGAGCTGTGCCTTCACTACCCCAGTGAGGAAGCTGCAAACCCTGGTGAGGTCTGACCTCAGTGTCCTCCAGCCCAAGAAGCCAAGTGCCCTCAGCTGCTCCTCCTACAGCTTCCTCTCCAGACCCTTCACCATCTTTGTGTCCCTCCTTTGGACACTCTGTAATAACTTTAAATATTTCTGATACTGTGACACCTGAATCTGCCCCTGTGACTTCAGTACAGTTTTAACAGTGGTGAAAGAAAAGAGCAAATTTCAACTCTAGTCTCAAAACTTTCTCAGGTCCCTGATACTTCCTTTAAACATCTCTGCAGTTCTTGTTTTATGACTTTTTTCCTTGTCTCCAAAATTGAGAGAGTGAGACAGAGTCCCTGGGGTGAGGTTTTGTGCAAGATGCCACACAGAAACCCCAAAAAAGTAATTTGTACTTTTTGCATTCTTCCCAGTTCTAACAATCTGAACTTGATAAAACATGATAAAACCCCAGTAAAATATTACTTGGACTTTGAGGATGTCTTTTGAGGAAGCTGGAATGTGCAGATGCTTTTGCGTGATTATTACCCATCACTTTATTGAGAAGATGCCACATGTTTTTATCTGCACAAACCATAGAGTTCGCATTTTTGGGGGGTTTGGAGATAAATAGCTGCAGCAGAAATCTGTCCTGAGGTTCCAGGTGGTCTGTGATAAGCTGGCATGTGCAAACCACTTCCTCCTTCCTTCTGTAGCTGCTGGCAGGGACATTCTGCTGCACGTCATTTTCCACTGTGGGTGCTCCTGGATGTCAGAGGTGACTAAGGGCAGATGTGACTTGTGCCCTTACTGACTGAGAGAGCAGCTCTCAACATCTTCTAAGCACCTGTGATGAGGTGATGGTGAAACTGCTGTCATGGTGTCCCCCCTCATATGTTCATTTTCATATTCTATAAGAGGTGACACAACTGCCTGTGACTGTTTCTGGTGCCTCCCTTCCTTCCTGCTCATCCTCTTGGTTAGTGAATTTTATAATCATTGCCGCTCTTATTCTTTGCTCCAGATCAAGAGAAATTTAAGTGTTGAGGGTGGATATATTAAGAGTTGAATCTTGAGAGCTGAGACATGAAAGCAGCACCTCTCCCATAGGGAGATTTGGCCTTTCGTGGGCACGTGGAGAGAATATGAGCAGCTTCCAAGAGGCTGCAGCAACGTGTGTGTAGAGCTGGGAGTTGTTTGTTGGCGTGTCGTGTTTGGGGTCTGCTTGTGTGAGGATGTAAGAAAAGTCTGGAGATTTTGATGACTCTGAGGTCTCTTTTCTGTGGCAATAATTGTTCTCAGCCACATAATTTCAGTTTGTTACTCACATGTGGTTTGTTCTACAGGCGTATTTCCTTTCCATCACATTGCTACAGGCTCACAGCAGAGGCTAAGAAATAACTAAACTGGAGATCAGATATCTAAATTTGAGTTTAGATCAGAGATTAACAAGAAATTCTTCCCCGTGACGGTGGTGAGGCCCTGGCACAGGTTGCCCAGAGAAGCTGTGGAAGGTGTTCTTGCCCATGGCAGGGAGGTGGAACTGGGTGATCTTGAAGGTCCCTTCCGACCTAGACCATTCTGTGAGACCACCTGTGTTCCTTGTCACTTGATTTCTGTGTCTGTCTGAGTTTGTACCAAGGACGAGGTGATGTTGGTGTCATCTGTGAGAGCAGAACACCCCGAGCTGGGAGGTGGAGAGGCCTAGGATGAAGAGGGAGTGTCTGGAAACAAGTCAGGAAAGTTTAACAGATTACATTTAGATAGAGCAGAGTTAGATGTATGTAAAATCTCTTGCTAACTGTGTTAAAGTAAGAAAATAAGGAATCAAGTTCATAGAATTGCAAAGCTCGAGATGAAAGAACTTCTCTGGCAGTTATTCTTCTCTTGCAGGATCGTTCCTTCTCTGCAGTCACTAATGACTAAGGAGATGTTCTCCAGGTTGTGAAATGACAGGGCTTCTGTCACTGCTCAGGAAATTCAACTGCACAGGCTCCTGCTCCTTCCTGTCACGGAGCTTTTCTCGTGAGCGTAGTCACCCTGAACGGTTAAAGCTGTGCTGTTCTCTGGCCGTGGAGCTTTCTCCTACGGGAATCCACGTTTATTCTTTCCTTAGGTCCTTGAACTAGATGTACATATTCCAGCTGAATTAACACTTCCCGTTTTGGGTAAGCTGGTGCTCTCTGCAGTGACCCCAGGCCGTGGTCCCTGCCGAGCAGAGCACAGAGCTCAGCGTGGCACCGCCGGGGCTTCCTGCCCTGGGGCTGTGCCAGCCTTGGATGTGCCGGCCAAAATTCCATGTTCCCCGGAGCTCTGAGGATGTTTCCCTCATGCACTCGTGTCTGATTTGGTGTCTGCCACCTCTCCAGGCTCTCGGATTCTTACCACTTCCCAAGTTTCCTTCTCCAGCTTGGTGTTTTCAAGCCTCTCTTTCCCCTAACGCAGTGCTCTGTCTTTTCTGCCCAAGTGTTTGTAGTTCTTCAGGTTGTTCTGTCTCTTATTCTTACTTGGTTCATTAATTCTTGCTGATGAATGTAAAACCCAGGTTATGAACTGCCACTAGCACCAGGTACCAGCAGGAAAAAAAAAAATCTTGTGCTCTTGTGCTTTACAAACATGGAATAAGGGAAGTTCTTGCCCTGAAGTCTTGAACTAATTTTCTTCTGTTAACAACTCATTAAGAGAAATTTTCCAGCACTCCTTTCTATGGAAAACAACCCCTCACGATGCAGCTTAGAGCCCCTTTTTATTGTTTGGTTTTTTGTTGTTTTTTTTTTTTTTTTTAATAGTTCATCTTAGTTTTTATTCATGTCATAAGATTTATTGATAAATTACTTGAACATGCTGCTTTCATGTTTTATAATTAAACAAATATGGAGTGTACTTTAACTAATGTTGTAATCCTGTAGTGATCATGTTTTCCAGGAGAGACTGTTTTATTTTTCCAAATCTCTCCCTGTGGATACGTGTGCTCCTCTGCAGCCTCACAGCAGTTTCTCACTATTTATTCCCAGTACTACACTGGGAACATAAAAACTAGAGGTAGGAGACAAGAGGCAGGATAATGGTGTGATTCTCTTCAGTGTGTTTGTTTTTAAAGGATTGATGTTCCCTCATTATCTGCAGTTTCCAAGAGCAGCTTTAAGTTATTTGTCTTTGGACTGGAGACTTTCCCCAGCTTTTTAGTTTAGTGGGTTCTTCATGGAAAGGCAGAAATGAGCCCTGGAATGGTTGTGC